AGAATAAGCCTATGTACCACCCTTTCATTTCTAGATAATCTAGTCTCGAAACGAAAGTTTGATCAATTTATTATCGCGAAAACTTAAGCAACATATTGGAAGGTGTCCTTATGCCCCTCCATGCGCTCTATGTATTCTTTCTCCAGCAATATGTCAATACATTTCTTGATATCTGGAACCTTTGGTTTAAATCTGTTCGACAATTGGGCGATAACTTCTTGTACAAGAGTTACATGTTTGAGCTGTTTGCGAGTTTTCATGATCCGTACAATTGCCGCCTGAAATTAAGAGAGAAAAAGGCAATGGGAATTTACACAATTACATGTGAGATGATTTTCGTGTGCGCCCGCAGCGGAGAATAACATTTCATTAACATGCTACAAACCTGCATCAATAATTTCCTGTCTTCCTCAACTGTCTTGTGTGTGTCCTCCACTTCAATCTTCTGTTCAGATTTCACTGGTAGATTCAACTGAATACGGACTTTCTTGCTAATATTATCAAAACAATTGAGAAGTTAAAATAATTTCTCGAATAAACTTCCACTCTTTGTGTTACTTAAAATAACCCATTTCAACAATGAATTAAAAGTCATTGTTTGGTTAAAACCTATATAACTCTTCTCTCCTTTCCTGGTCAAAAAGCGCACGACTAGACTGACCTCTTAAAGTCCGAGTTCAATAAATATTTGGCCCCACCAGTATCAGTTGTTTGTAATAATACTTTTGCTTTCAATAGAATTCCAAGCTGTCCATTTAATACATCTGGTGTCAATCCAGTACTGTTAGAGAGCTCTTCAAAAGTGTATGATATTTCTTTGTTGTATTGTAAAAGAATACCCATTTGGAATGTTGACACCTGTAAAAGAATTGCATAGATTAGTCATACTGATTCATTGTTACATTCTGATACGTATTTCTACTGGCATCGTACCTGAAATGTGTATCCTGTTTTCGTTGCCTTTAAATAATTAGTCTTCAATTCACCCTTTGAAAGATGGAACAACCAATTCAATTTCCTTCCAGAATGTTTGTTCTGGTAAAATAGTTGGAATCTCTGGAATGTTTTCTCAACCTTTAGTAAAAAAAGAGAGTAGAAATAATTTAGTACCGGGTAATATCATTTCTGGCGAGAACATACAGAAATCCACCTCTTCAGGAATTTCAAACTTTGTAGAAGATGGTTGAAGAGGCCATGACGCTGTTCCGAGCACTAGGACAGAGAAGTCAACTGTTCGAGTAAAAAGTATAAAAGATTAGAAAATTTGTTCTAGTAGTGATTTATATAGTTCGGTTAAAAGATGAAATTACGCACTCCCTGATAGATCGCCTGTCTCCTGTGTGCGTTCCTTGAATTGGTCATTGAGGTCCTTGCTAAGACCCATATCTGTAAACATACGCTGTAGTTTCGAGGTGTATTCAAACCCACATGCTTCCTGAGATGTCAAGAATAGTTTATGAATAATCTCGTAAATATCTAGAGCCTACACTGTTGACTTGTTCACTTACTTTTAACTTGGAAATCATACTAGATTCGGCATCCTCAGATGCGGATGTGCCATTTACAAGTCGTTTTGCTAACATCTTAGAGTAGAATTTTTGAAATACATCCTTGTCCTCAACGTATTTGAAAACTGTCATCTACGTCAGAGACGAGTAAACGACAAGTAATTAATTTCAGATAGCACTGATAATCCTTCGGTTTGCGCTAACAATCCACTTACAATACTATTTAGTACTTCCTCCAGGTCATTCTCCTCAGGGTTCTTGGCACTCTTCCGAAGCAGTGCGTCACAGAATCGCGCAAGTAGTTCTGGTGATTTAGACGTTGACGTCATACATACTTTGTTACGATTTACAAATTCACGACATGCCTAATTTAATATAAAAAGAATAATGTCTGGGTAAGTACAAGGTAAATTTTAACTAAACTTTATATTATCGATATGTCCAGAATATACCTTGTCCAATGAAGCAACAAATCCGGCTTCTCCTCTGAAAGCACTCTGCACCATTTCAGCATATTTTTTATGAACCTCTAATAGAGCATCAACATACGTTTTGGGTTCCTATTAATAATTAATAGAAATAATACGATTAAAGTCACATTCATCGATACACTTATGATCTGCCACCCCCCCCCCCAACCATTGATACTTTACTATAGGTTCGCTCTCTCCCGAAACTTTCTCGATAGCACTAAGCCCAGCCCTGCGCACATGCTTCTCAAATCGGTCGCGTAATGGTGTTAACCCCTCTGGAATGCGCGAAAGAAGAGAATACATTCTATGCAAATCTGCAGAAAATAACCGGAGTTAAGAACATGTTGGCTTTAAGTTCTTATTTCTGTGATAGTAGCATGAGAAAACTATCATAAAATGTACCGTCTAATTTATCCATATTGAGTAAATTTTGGAATTCTTCCCACATAATGTCCGTGTGTTCCTTTACCAGCACAGTCTCGCAAGTGCTAATGAGCTACAAAGGTAACAAATAGTATATAACATGTTATTGCCAATCGAGAAACGATGAACGTTGAACCATATAACGTATGAATTATTTAAGTTATTAAATGACGTACTGGTTTTTCGGTGTTCGGATGCAGATATGAGTTAATACGGCTTTCCTCTTCCGCCAACCTTGATTCCGCCTTTTTCATATAGTCTGTGACGCTGTTCTTGCTGACAAAATCTTCCGATTCCGCCTTATAATATATTCTGGTGGCATCGACAAATATTGTCTCAAAATGTTCCCTGTAAACTTCTAGGGATGACTTGTTGGTATCGTTATCTTCAAGTCCGAGAGAAACTAATAAGGGACAGAAAAGATTCGTTATTCAGATAGTCGAATAATAAAAACTTGAGCGCAGACGCAATAGTGTTCATCCTCAAGTGGCTTGAACCCGACTCTAGCCTAACGCCAAGCGTGTCGTCATTGACTTCTTACCAAAAGATTCGACAACTGATTTTATTAACTTGGTTTCAACCGTCTCTCCATTCCTTTGCCTCTCAATTAACTTTAATACAGCGGTCATAACATTACGTTGAACGTGTTTGAACATATTCTCACGCCAGCTGACAAGGGTGAGCTACAAATGTTACGATTTAAATAGTGATTAATAATAATTACTGATATCAATTGATATCTATCCTCATTTTGTGAAAAACAATTGTTTGATAGTTACCGTGTAGACATCGTATACTGTGTTGCGCCCCTCATCGATTTCACGTCTCACCCAATGTCGATTGAGATATCGGAAAACATGGTTTACATATGTCGAGGCAGTCGTATATTTTTCCCATTGTTTTGTATAATACTGTAATAAGTTCTCGTCCATGTATTGTTCAGAGTCCTGTATTCAAGTATCCACTCTTGTCAGCACCAGCACGTAGAATAAAATTACCATGTCCATGCTGTGCTTGGAAAAGCTATCATCCCGCTCAACAATCGCGAGCAATAAATTTATAGCTATTCCATCACAACATTCTCAATTGCAATAACCATCCGCATTTGATTTATCAACTAACCCTCCTTATTTTATCCAGATGTCTTTTAAGATAGTCCTGAAGCCGGTTATATAGATCGCTTCCCATTAAACTCGCACCTAATTATCCAAACATCATATATTCTAGAGAATAAGTACTCATCAATCCTTTTGCGTAAGGTCCTATAGGACTAATTTCCAATCAATATACCTCGATTATGGCCTAGGCCCTGGCCTCCAGCGGAAGAGAGCGGTTCGGAAGCAAATCCTTGATTCATCCGACTGCTCGTACAGTAATTATAAATGCCGCTTGAGGTTTCGAATGACGAAAGATAATAGTTAAGGAATAAGCGGTAACTTTAAAGAGCGAGGAGAGGAAAATAATGAAGCTTTGATTCATAGGGAGAGAAAACTTGACAGTAGGTATGTATACGATCTAACGGCAGGCACTTGGACAACAAACCGCTATGACACTGATCGTACGCATCTCGCTCAATTTCCGCAAAAAAGAGACGATTCCACCGCAGTTTCGTCTTACTCTTACGCTACTTTCAACTCTCCAAGCACATGCCGATTCAACCTGACACATGTTTGCGCTGCTCCTTGTTCAAATTCTTTGAAGAAAAGGATACGTGTACAATTCCATATATTTTTTATAGCTCAACCCTTGGTCTAACTTGTTCATAACCAGGTCGATTCCTTCCTCCAAAAACTTCCAAGTAGCTTCCAGGTCCGTCGACGCAGGGAAATTGCTTCCGTTTGTTGACATCATTATGAAAAGTATTAAGAAAGGATTTAAACGTCAAGGTTATCTGACAGAGTCAAAAAAAGAACAAGGTGCGGGTTGATAATGGGTGCGGGGGGTGGAAGATTTATTTTGATTTGCAACCTTTTTTGCTGCGTAATTTGGAATTAACAGAAATTTAACACATGACGTATGATAAAGCTAGCTGTCACAAGGTTTATGACGAGGCTTTTAATTGATTGGAGACAAATTAAAATGAAAGCGACGAGTTGCGAATTTGAGTTTCAAGAATGGCAAATAATCGATCGGTTCAAATTCACGTCACGTTTGTGTTCTAAACAAGTGAAGAATATAAAGTAATTAAGTGTGTCTCACAAATATTTCTTTGTCAGAAACAAAGCAGTAAAATACAGACGGATCACAGACATTAACATTTGTTTTCTCAACCGATCTTTTCTGCTGTAATTGCGTGATTCTAATTCCAGAATAATATTCTTAATCTCGATCTAATTTTACCTACAACCTTTTGGGCTAGAGTTGCCTTGCGCTTAATTAAGAAATGGGATAGTTTCGTGACTATCACATTACGTAATCACTTTTTTAACTGTTTGACAAAGGTTGCCCTTCATAAGACTGTCTTGCGAATTTGAGAAAGCAGTGCCCAAAGTAGATATCGTATTCCCGATTGACATTGTACAAATATGAAGTTTGTTTTGATGGCAAGTTACTTAAAGTGTATTTATGCCCACAAGGACGACACGTTATTCTCACCTACTAGTAAGTAATCGCCGTATTTTGTAGACATGGCTCTATTCGTATTACTGGGTATTTCGGGTCCGGTTCATTTCACCGACAATCGTTTCACCGACAATCGTTTCGCCGACAATCATTTCACCGACAAATTTTCGCCAGCATTATTTTGAAATTATCCTTTTTTGGTAAATTTTGTCGGTGAAATGATGCCTCCCGGTATTTCTACTGTAGATTCAGCAACTATAACAATATTACAAGTTTAGCAGTTTTTGATGCTGAGGTACTTAAATTAGAATTTCTATTTTATTATGCTAAATGAAATAAAAATCTTACTATTAGAAGAAAGTAAGACACAGTGTATCGCCCCAAAAAGTGTTTGCTAATAATTTTTTACTCGGTTTATAAGTAAAAACACACTTGTTTTGCTGCAATTGACGTGTCAGCGAATTTTGAGTTATTACATGGAACTATGACCGATGCGAATAAAGCGACGAGATGTGACCAAACCTGCATGCATTAATCGACGATACAGTATTCAAAAGGATATTTCTGGCGAAGAATCAACAGGTCGAAATATCAAGATCGGATACGCTCAAAATCTAGCATAACTCGAAAATGCATACCAGACCAATAAAAAGAAGCGGACGACTATTTTGACTACCTTTATGACATCGTATTTCATTATAAAATATAAGAAAATTCTGATAGAAAGTACTACGCACCATGTGATTAATATACTTAGCCACGGAATGGCACTATATCATCTATACTTCCGAGGGAATCTATTGTACAAGTGGTAGTGAATACCAAATCAATCTTTCGAAGACGGCTATTAAAGGAAATCTCGATGTTCTCTGAAGCAATGTAAAAAGGGTAATCGGAATGCTTGTTAAAGGATCGGGTTAGAGTTAATAATTCCCCAATACCAACCAGTAAGAGAGCTCGCATCAAAAACTTCGTTGAAAAGTAATGAGGTAGATAGCTTATCCATCACACATGTGTTATAAAACAATAAGGCAACAAGACATTTAACTTTTGACGCGTGCTATTGAAATCGTCATTCGGAGATTCACCAAATTGTTTTCAGATCATTTTTGCAAGGAGTTAACATATATGAAAGAGAGGTGGGTAGAACGTTTGGTCGCATATCTACTTCTATAAGCAAAGTGTCTACAGTATTAATAATGATCATGTTGCTCCAAGCTTAGGACCATATTAAATTCGAGCGTCCATCCACATCTAAGCACAAGATGTTCATTCCAACTGTCAATCTTACAGTAAACCGGATTATTGTTGACATTCCAATGGATTAGATAGGGAGCTTGACTGGGTCTGTTGTTTGAGGGGTCGCAGGACTCGGGTTCGGCAAGTAAGGAAGAATTGAATCGGGAAGACCAATCCCAATATTTCAATTTGTATTCGATAATAAAGACTTCGTCTGATAATTTCGTCAATTCTGCCCACTCGATAACGTATTCTTCGATAAAATCTTTTTCGCAGATATTCGATTCTTGGGTCGATTCGTTGAACAAAAGCAATTTTATATAGGCCATTGTCACAGTCTGAGTTATTAAAAAACACCCAAAAGAATTCAAATTTGATAAGCCACACCGTCTACATTTTAAAGCGTAAATTTAAACATAATTACCTCAATCCACACGTTTGGCGGTGGACATCGATTGATAATGGGGTGTATCGTTGAGGAAGCGTCGGCCTTCGATACCACATGCCAACGTCAGGTCGAAGCTGGCGCGTTGTGCGATACATATTGCATTAGATACTGTACGCCAATTCGGATTATGTGTCGTGGCTGAAGCAATTAGTTTGCCATGTAACTCTCCTTTCGCAAATCCGTCAAATTCGGTAAGATTAATAATGATATTATTGTCCGGCGCAAAGCGAAAGACTATTATAGTATACTTGGACTATTACTATCGCGAGGAACTTTTATTCACAAACTAAGGGTTATTACTGTCTACGACTTCGATCACATGAATTTCTGTGTCCGGCACATGATCTCGACCAATGATTGTGATTGAGATTAGGACGTTATTGATCGCTCGGTTTTTCTAGTAAAGATGCGTAAACTAAAACTTACTTTGATGAAAAGCTTGCTCCTAATTATTTCTGCGTTATATTTTGCGTGTATTGCTTCATGAACACTTGCATCAGCTTTGTCTAGTCCAGGAAGATTAATCGTGATGACGTCTTTAATTTTCCTTTTCTTTAGTACTTGTTCAATCTTCGCGAGGATCTATTATGATCGTTAACCATACTCTTGCAATTGTTCGTAAACAGTCTTAAACACTATTGAAGTACCATATTGACTTTGGCGGTTTGTCTAGTTTCGAGAGTGACGGCATCTGATTTTTCTGATTGAAGCTCATGTTAAAAGGTTTAGGAAAGAAACAAGAAACATTACCTTTATACAGAGAATTGATGATGATGAGAAAAATAATGTTTCCAGAACCATCTACTGTACCACATACGTCATGTATCATGCATTCACGTGGTAAAGTTGGGAGGTTGACTCACTACGAACGTGCATTAATATTGCCAACGATACCCTCCGGCATGACTTTGAAATCGCCAGTTTTGTGTTGTGCTTCAGCCAAAGATGGAAATTCTCAAAAGAATCCATCATCAAAAATCTGTTACAGAACATTGACACATTCAGTCATCCTCAACTCTGAGACACATAGCATGCTGAATATGTTTTTTTTAGTGTACACCATGCAAGATTAGTCACTTTATTATTAGTATTGGTAGAATCACTATCAATATGGTTCACAAAATTACTCAAACCTCATTGCCCAATTACCTCCATTGATCGTCAATGAAGCATGAAAGTAACTTGTAGCTTGAATATGAAAACGCAATCCATTAACTGAAGATGACGCAAGTAACATTAGCCTGATTATTGAATTATTTTAATATTAAAACATGAATATTGCTAGATACCAGCAAAAAAACACTGACAATACTGTGATCCTAATTTCCTATGCCAAAATTCTTGGCTAATCTATCTCTGGATAGGGGCAAAGCTCCATTGCAGAGCAATAAAGAACACCATATAACTGAGACTTTTGCTAACAAGGTTGATGCACTGTGCACAGCTCCACTGATATTATCAAGCTAAATTCAGATCCTTCTTACAAGACATGCAAACATTGTTAGATACAAAGTGCCCTGCCTCACAGAATAAATCTCCAAGTATTACTTATACTGAGGAAGAATTCAATACACGATTAAAAGAAGAAACTGATGCATTACAACTAAAATTTATTAAATTTATCAATATTAAAGCTTCAAAGCAAAAAATACTAGAAATTAGCACAGGTAAGACTACTCTCAATTATTAATTAAGCTGCTGATTTGTTTCTGAGATCTGTTCCAGTCATGTATTATATATATACACCATCCAGTATTTAGTATCTCTAAAATGACACATTTCAGATAGTCTTATTCTCAACTGATTTATGAATGCCATCTTACTATTATGAAATTAGTATTGCAAATTACACATGACACACTTTTCAACCTTTTCCTGAGTACTCATGCCACCTATTGTATATATTAATATATGTAACATTTTAGACAGAAAATTGGGCAGAAAATACTATTGTAATTTTAATCTATATAATATGTCAGCTTCAAATTTAGGCAAAAAATGGGTCACTTGAATTAAAAAATACTAATGTAATCTCTATATATGTAACATCTCAGCCAGGCATGTTTTCAAAATTAGGCAGAGATGTGTCGTTTTGAATTGAAAAATACTAATTCAATCTCAAAATGTGTAACATGCCAACCAGGTATTTCTTCAAAATTAGGCAAAATGTGTCATTTTGAATTACAAATACCAATTTAATCTCAATATATGTAACATGTAAGCCAGGAACATTTTCAAAATTAAGCAGAAATGAGTTGTTTTTGAATTAAAAACACCAATTTAATCTCAATATATGCGCATTTTCAAAATTAAGCAGAAATGAGTGGTTTTTGAATTAAAATCATTAATTTTATCTCTATATATAAAAGTGTTATTAAATAAGCATTAATATTAATATCAATGTCAACCACAATTTATAGCAATTATAGAAATTTGTCCTATCATTATTTATAGTATTCATCTGTCATAAGAGTTCTGATAACCATTTGTATGGGCACCCCATAATAGGGAGGAGTAGTCATAAGAGATTTGTCAATTAAATTAAAATAGGCATTAACAATTACATTGTTTTGCCCTTTTCCTTCATTGTAATCACAATAGGGACCCTATAATATTCACCTTTACTCAGGCAACAAGGCTTTTCAAAACATTCCAGCTTATTTACTGTTCACTTGTAATTAAGTTTGATCTCTATTGGATTATCTTTATCAGTCTGTCAGTTTTTGGATTACTTTCCTGTAATGCGCAAAATATACTACAGTAATTCTATAGCAAAAATTCAACCAAATAACCAAATAACCAATATTAATATGATGTATACTAATACATACTGTGTTCTTCTATTTTTCTTCTCAAGTTTTCAACTTCCTCTTGTTGAAAGTTTTATCCACCCACTTCAAAAATTAATAACGGTATCACAAAAGGAAGTCTTAACAATTACCTGCATGGAGTACTGCTAAAAACTCTTACGTATTATATGGGGCATGACTCATCATCGTGAATTGAAACTTTCGAAGTCTACCTCCGTGGGGATTTTCCACGGCTATTGACTAGCTTTAAAAGAATCAGTAAGTTGCGGTACCACAAGAAGAAGCCAAAACCCAAAGGTCAGAATAATCTGTAATCCACTACCATATTATACGCACCTTTCAAGTTACGAATTCTGGGGTTTCAAAGTCACGTCCGCGTTCAACTTGCAAGGGAGAGAAAACAAGAAACTTACTGTAGAACCTGCGTTTAAGTTATCTTTTGCAAAAACTTGTCTTCACCGCACCGTTAAAAGGCTTTTTGAGGCTATGGTCGTCATGCTGTGCTGGACTTATGAACTAATGTATAGAACATGGTTGAGAACCGACACAGCCGTTGATAATGCTCAAAGAGACGCGAGATAGAGATAATAATAACAACACAAAACGTTTGTCAATAAATCTGTGCACGCGTCAAACAATATATTTAACATCTCATACAGAAGAAATGCGTCGTTTTTAAAATGTAACCGCTATCTATGTAACATTTCCGCCAGGCTTGTTTTCAAAAGTAAGCGGAACTGTATCGTTTAGAATTAAAAAAGGTAACATTCCAGCCAGGCATGTTTTCAAAGTTAGACGGAAGCGTGTCGTTTAGAATCAAAAAATACAACATGTCAGCAAGGTACGTTTTCAAAATTAAGCGGACACGTGTCGTTTAGGATTAATGTAATCTCAATATATGTAACACGCCAGCTAGGTATGTTTTCAAAATTAGGCAAAAGGTGTCGTTTAAGATTAAAAAAATACTAACTTAATCTCAATATATGTAAAATTTCAACTAGAAACGCTTTCAAAAATGTGTCATTTTGAATATTGCAGTATGGCTAAAATGTGTTATTTTTAAACTAATACTCAGATACTGAATGCTGAATGTGGTCAGATTTAAAGCTGGCAGTTTTGGCTATTATTTATTTGGTGTGTTAATAGATAGGCACAAATTTGTAAAAGCTTTGCTAGAAACACTTATTTGATAGTAAAGATTTGACAATGTGGCTATATTAATATTATCAAATAGGCCATATTAATATTGCAAAAATAAACATTGCTGGTGACACTATAGTAATTTATTCTATCAAAGTTGCAGTATCATGCGTACGTCTACGGTCAGTTCTAGCTTAACTTTTAGCAAAACGGTGGCTAGCACTTGCAGACTTTGTAATAGAATTCTGAATGAGCCTAATTCATTATCAATGCAGATAACATCATAATATGTCTTCCATCAAAAAGAAAGTTGGGCCTTTTGCTGTTGACAGGTGAAACGAACAAATAGACCCCCTTTCACCATCCTACTTCCAACGAGATTTCATACTTACAAAACATTAACATTAACATTGCCATTTGCCATAATAATAATAATGATGATGAAAGGAATATAGGTAATATACATAAATGGCAAGTATCCATGCAATTGCGCCATAAATCAAGTTTATGCTTACCAAACAAAAATTTCACAATGTCATTATTATTTAATGTTTCCAGTCTCCCAAATGCGTCGAATAGTACAAATCGAACGTAGAAGGGAAGATCTTTTGTCAATTTGATCCGCACTTTCCAAACTTTGGTAAAAAAACTTGGGTATATTTACCTTAATTAATTCGGATTTAAAGTTTACATAAACAAATAATAGTAAATGATTATGATCAGATAATAAAGTTACACATTGGTATACAGTATATACTGGGTTTTATACCATGGAGAATGACCCCTGTCGATCTTCATAATACGTTTGAACCCCCAAAAATTTCCGCCGATGTTTGATCTACAAATTATTATGCGCCGAATAGCTTCTTAATTCATGGGGCGTTAAACTCGTATTGGAATAATTAATAATTATCCAGGTTACTAATATTGTTTATATTCTGCCCTCGTGCAAAGCGTGCAAAGCGTGCAAAGCTTAATTAAAAAGGGGGGTGGGGACGATTTAATAAACAATGTTGATTTGCACACTTTTGTTTCAGAAATTAAAATGAAAAATTGAATGTTTGATTAGCGTTTAAAATAACTGAAACTTTGACGATACTTATGCCGAATAATATTAATAGATACTAGCTGCACAACGTAATTATTATGTAAAATGAGAACATCTTCGTCGTGCTTGCTTTCTGTATGACAGGATTCGGCATTTATGTTTATGATTGTCGAAAAACGTATTAGCCATATTACTAATTAAGTTGTTATTAAAATGTACACTCAGCCACGACATTTAATATATATTAATTAGTTATTTTTGCTCCAAATCGGGATGGATTGTCAAGGGCATCCTTGGCACATTGGGGGCGTTGCTGGATGCAGTTTAATGTGTCATTGCCCTTATTACATTACAGAAATCCAGTTCGCTTAATAAGATGTTTCATTACGAGAAAACAATTATGTGGAAACCTTGTCTGTTTGTATTCAGCTTTTTTTTTTTTAATATGACGACTGAACACAAAGAAGATCAAGTGTTCCTTGTCGTTATAATATGGTATACACCCGAGCCACTGGGACCCAAGCATGTTTCGCTCATTTATGTATTATAGACTTACGCTGACTTTTTTACCGTGTGACTTTCCCTTTCTCCTCGCTTTCCGACCATATGTTTCCGCTTTTCGAGTTTATTGGCTTATGACCGGAATAGGCTAACAAGCGCCTAAACAATACTGCCCGTGCGCGGCATGTCGGATAAAGAAGAGCCCTCAATTCGACAATAACGGTAAACTGATATCTATGTGTGACCATCAACAGTCTTTGTTTTATTTTTAGCTTGTTAAAGATGCAAGCATGTAATATGTAATAGATCGAACATTCTGAACAGGCAGTTAGAATGAAATTTTTACAAGACAATACTTGTCGATAATCGGTATTTGTTGCGTAACCTCTGGTAGCAAATTTGCGCACCCCTCAAACGTTCAACTAATAAATGAATGTATTATTATTGCAGATGCAGTTTGATTACACAATGTCTTTAATATTACTATATTAGCCTTATGAGATTGATACATCATTGTGATTTTTTGTATCACAAATCCCTTTGACATACCAACACTATGTAAGTTAATTAAAGAGTCAAACCAAATTTAGGTAAATTAAGTTTCCGACCTAATGGATATGATATCTGAAATGTAGGGATGATATCCTAAATATCGCGGAAGTTAATATTTCCGACTGCGGGCAGATATGAATAGTAATAGTAAATAAACACAAACGTACTATTGTCTGAACTGCAGCGATCAATTCCATCAAATACAAGATCTCTAGTATTGTTCCGAGCCTAGCTGGCGTAACTATTCACAAGAATGATGTCTTGAAAAAGCTAGCCTGTAAAATTTTATTAAACTGATAACTGATAACCAAAAACGGCAATTATGGTTTCTCTCATATTCGGCATAGAATGACTATAATGTTCGAATTTCAAAATGTTACATATTGTAACATAGCCACTACATGACAGCACGACAGTATCTTAAAGAACAAGACAACGGAATGCAATCGTATGATCTCAAGTGTCTCATTTGTAATACTGATAATAATCAAAATTATGCCTGTTCAACAATGTGGGTGGGCGTTTAATTACGAAATCTAAAGACGGAGCAAATGACTATCAAAAAGAGATTACCAACGTGTTGAACAAGGACACGCATAAACAAAGAAAACGGGTAACCCGGACTAGATGGACTGACTACAAACGCAATGTCGTAAACTCGTACAAGCAACAATGAAATACAACTTTTTGATAACCCCCGTAATAATTCCGATTCCAACTAAAAAATTATCCCCATCATAAATATGCAAATGTCAGAAAATTATTAAATTTAAGGTTACGTAAAACCCGATAGAATGATACAATTCATTTTCTGATTAGTTTAGCATCGATCACATTTCATCGTTTTCCGGTAACACATACACATCTTGAAAAGATACCATATGATCTCGCAACTTTATCATTTATCCATCTATTTTTTTTAGTAGCCCTGACCCTTTTACCATGCTGCGCTCTTGTTATCAGTCTCATCTGGACGCCCGTTGAAGATCATAGTTAAATGAGAAAAATTCTATTCATAGTAATAGCAAATATGCATTGTGCAGATCCGGAATGGCGTCATGCAAATCTCGAGCAATACGAAAAAAAAGGCCCCAAGTTTTTTCCAAACATACGATTCGACTCGCCCAAATAAAAGCCGTCTAGCTAATCCGACCTAACTGTGTAAAGATTCCGGCATCGAAACCCCTCCCGCTCGGATGTGTTTTCCCACGCTTATTAAGGCATTTGCTTCTTATCTCGATTGCTACGGAAGCTACATGCATGTATATAACCAAGTTTTTTTTAACGACTTATATCCAGTCTGTATGACTATACTTTTTACAAACACAGTATAGCGTATGATCGATCGACAGTCGATAATTAAAAGAGAAGGGGAAAAAAAAACTCCCCTGCCCGATTTCTGAACTTGGCAATTAAATTAACGGGGGCGCAAATAGAAAAAAAAACGCCTTTTTTTATTCTTACCCAGGTTACCAAGTAGGTAAGTAACCGTGGAAATTACTTGATTGGATGAGATACTCGGCCAAGGATTTGCGTCTTTCGATGGTTGAAGATCTGCAGTATGTATGCAACAAAAGTAATGTAATGGACGAGACAACGGTTATCTCCATTATCCAGGTATCGCATCGACCAGTACTGAGTATTTCCCTTCACTCTGTTCTCTTGTTCGTTTCTCGTATACTCAACCAGTGCCTTTCCCACTTTTTCACATGATAAGTAAAAAAGTCAGGGATTTATATATGATCGTTACACCATTTTTCTAATCAATATGGTCATTCTCTTGTACCTGTTCTTTGCAAGCCACATGTCTTTCAGATGAAAATGCGCCTGCTCGTTTACATAATCTGAAAGTTTCTAGATATGGGATGGAATATGTAATACGAAGAAGGGAAAAGCGGAGTTGCCACTCGGAAACAAGTCGATTGGTAAGCTTGTGTGTGTGAACGTTAAAAATATTTCAGTATTTTTTTATCTGTCGAATCTTTTTTACTTTTGCAATTGAGAAAAGGGGGGGTGGGACGGCGTTATCTGACAGTCTTGACAAAATGGGATCACATAAACTAAACAAATGAGGTGAAGTATGAACAATATGAATCGAGTTTAGTAACGAATCGGGTTTAGTCGCTGGTTATTTAATCATCACTAGTATTGAATGTATGAAAATTACCGTATAAAGCATCCGATATGCAAAACCCCATTTCAATATACACTCTTGTAAGTTGGTGTTTTACCCACACACTCGGATGGACCTCAACCTTAATCCAATGTGCAACGTACCCATTTTTTTCGCCTCGGCGAGAAAAACTTTAAAAATCGAATCGATACAGCATTGGTTAAAATACCAGGATTGGGAAAAAAATCATAGTTAGTGTTTGAGAGCCATGATTAGTGCATTTAATAATGGCGTGTTGTTGTATAACGAGTTATCTTTCCAAACAACGCCCCCGTAATTCAGGCTATACCTTTCTCACCACAGTAGCTACTTAATTTAGATACGCCTTTGTTTTCAGAATGTTTATCAAGACAGAGATATACTTGTCGACGGGAGAACATGGGATAGAAAAAGAATTACAAATCTCTTCATGAATAGTCATCAATTAATTGAAATGCATTTGAAAAACTATTATTGTAATTGCCGTTGTGTTTGTACATGCAAGATAACCTCGAAATAGCAATATTTTCCGCGGACGATGTCCTTAAGATTTGACGATTCATTCAATTACAATTAATTTACAACAATTAATTATGCATGTGCATTAATTCCCCAAAGACCATGTACATTTAAAATATACATGTGTTTTTATTATTAAAGAGAACCTAATTTTTTTTCTTTACTATTAGAGAAGATGGCAATCAAAATGGTAATGTTTTCATTCATTCATGCACAGCACCCTTTTTTTTATGTAGATAAATCATGCAGTGCAACAATGTTGGAGGAATGAAGATACGGCGATGCGATTGTCCATTGCTAAACTGCATTCTACTGGTCATAGCTGATGAGAAAAGTAAAAGGGTGAGGATATCAAGACAAAGGGATAAGGGCTTGGAGTTTTCTCCGGACAAAAGCGCTCGTATGAGTGTTGTGTACAAACCATTGTGTATATACGCATTGTGTTTGTGTGTGTGTGTGTGTGTGTATAATTGTTTTTACAAAGACACAAATTCTTAACCTCGTGACAACACAATCAGGGGCTATCAAATATTTGGAAAGTTACATGGTTGATCCCATGAACAAACATACCGTAGTCTTCTTCTTCTTCTTCTTGTTCTTGTTCTTCTTCTTCTTCTTCTTCTTTTCTCTCTCGTCTTCTTTTTGCAGAGTTGCCCGAATAAAATACGATAAAAGGTTCCAAACTTGAATTTATAAACGAGTTTGTTAATAAAGTTATAACAAACAATATACTTTAATCCCATTTACTATAATTCGTAAATTAAAGTAATTGGGGTGATGGGGAAAGGGGACATCAAACAGGTTTCCCTTTTCTCGATATCAAGTTTCTGCAGGTAACGGCTCCTCTTCTATTGGACAGTCAATGTCACCATAAAAGTCTTTCTGATTTCAAATAAATAAAAAAAAAACTTTAAAAAACCGTAGAAGAAAAATGGGATATGGAACGTGAGAATTGATTGGTGACACATGACTCGACTCAAAGACATTATGATTCAGCCATAACCGGTATACGCAAGACCGGGTCCGGATTCTAATGGCTAAACAATTGCTATTAATAACTATTGTTAAAGATAGTTTGCCCAATGATATTCATTTTCGATTATGGGGTTTTTACACCGTGTTGGTAGTGGGCATTGTAAAGCTGGCCAGCGGGCTCGATTTGGTCCATCTGATTCGAATAACCTCCGAATATCAATCGCAGAAACATTAATAAATAATATAGACTGAAATACAGTTATTGCCATTCATTACATTTAATTCATTCAAGTCATCATTCATCGTCCATTCGTTACATTTAATTCATTCAAGTCATCATTCATTGTCCATTCATTCATCATTCATCATTCATTAAGTCATCGCCATTCATTAAAGTCCATCATCATTCAAGTCATCGCCATTCATTCATCTCACTGTCCGTTCAATCACTTTCACCATTTTTCATCGCAACTCTTTTTGATTTTATAATTTCCTCAAACCTCGAACTTTATTTGTTTAATTTATTTGAACATCATAATTTCTTTTTGTTTCTTTTTGTTTTAAATTTTTTTTTACATTTGTAATAATCATTTTCCTCAAGCAAAAAAATTAGATCGTTAAAAATTAAAAGATCGTTAACACGTATTAACAATTAAAAAAAAAAGGTTTTGCCGGTATTAGTAACAAATAGAAGAAGGGAGAAGAAAGATAAAACCGGAATCTGGAGTGGGCATTTCCTCTCCTTTTTCCTAGTCCTCCTCGATACAACTCCCCAGCAACTCGTCCCATACTCGGCTAGTTGGAATAAACAAGTTTCATTTGTACATGAAAAAAAAAAAGGTTGATAGCAAATAAAGGAAAGTAACGTAAAATAACAATACCGAAATTTCGGGGATGAAAAAAAGTTATAATACAAAGAAGGAATGAAATTCGAAGGGAAAATTTATAATACAAAATTATGTATAATACGGAAAAGAGAATAATTCGTTCATTTACCAAGTGTCGGAAGATAATGGGTATAAAGGAATATAATCGAAAGTTGATGAAAAAAGGGATAATGGTGTGATATATATAAAAATAATACACTGTTATTGAATACAGTCCATATTTCATAACATTTTTTCGCACAATTCGAGAAACTCTTGCATATAAAGAGAATCGACTGGAAAAAAGTCGATTCGATATTCTTGTGTTGTAAACGTTACGGTCTTGCGCAATTTGTTGTCTTTTGGTTACCCGTTTTCGTTGTTGTTGTGTTGTTGTTGTGTTGTTGTGTTGTTGTTGTTGTGTTGTTGTTGTTGTTGATTATTATTTTCCTTTGTTGTCATTTGTAAATTGTTGATATTTTTTCCTCTGCTTCTTTGTGGCATGTAATAATAAATTGCTTAAAGGGGAGATATATGTTTGTTCATGAAAATGTAAAGCGAAAGAAATCCCTGTTATATTTCTTTCTATAGGGTGTATAAATAAAATTTAAAGTTTGGGTGCAAAAAAAGGGGTTATCATTAGAGTGAGTAACTATTCCCTCCCCTGAGCCAACTCCCCCCCCTCGCACCGCCCAGGGTAGTAATAAAATCGGGCAAGTTTAGAAAAAAAAGGGGAGTGACGATTTCTCAGTGGTCATCATCCGAGGGGCTAATCAAATTTTTTGTAAAACGGGGAGAAAAAGGGTATAGTTACTCCATATCATATAATTCATTATAAGATATCAAGAAATCGATATCCGGCTAAAATTGTCCTTATGAAAAACTTCTTGGTTTGTGCGAAAAAAGTTCATAGCTTAAATTTTCTCTTTTCCGATTCGAGTAAAGCAAAATAAAAAGGAATAGACTGAATGTTCCAAATAGGACGGGTGTTTGATGAAGATGATAAATATGTCGTAAATAGATGTTTTGTGTGTGTAGGATGTGTAGGATAGTAAGTTTTCCCTTCAAGTGAAACCAAGGCCATCATCCCCTTCCCCACAACGTGACCCCACTCTCCGGTCACTCCTTCCTCCTAAATATGCAGTTTGTGCTCGCCGAAGGTGCCTTTATTCACCTCCAGGGACTCGCTATCAGCCGGTCTAGTTATGTCGATTGGAGCACTAGTAGAACAATAACAGTTGGCATCATCATACAAATCTCTGGAGAAATACTTGTCCGCCGCGCTAGTAACCGAACTACAAGGATTAGATTCGGTGTAGGACGAGGGGGCGGATGACTGAGGTGATAAGAATCCGTCGTTAACAACTGATGTTAGGTCGTTCGGAAAAATCATATTCGTGGTGATTGCAACGGAAAATCTCGGTGGAGAAGGCGGCGGACTGAGCACCTGTTGTTTCGGGTTCAATTCCTTGTTTTGACAATCGATAGAGCAATAGAGATTCTTGTCATCGAACGTTTGCTTTCCACATATACACCAGCTATGTAATTCCATTTCTAGACTTTATTACAGATGTGAACGTGAGATGTAAAAAAACGACTTTGTGAAAGTGAGATGTTTAATCTTTTAATGAGCAGGATTCTTAAAGAGCGTGGTGTTGGTGACGGGATTGGGAGAGTAGATTGTTTCAAAAAGCTGCGAACTATAAGATGAAAATGCAAGAAGGTGCAAATTTCTACTATTATCTTCGATGCCTTCGAATGTCTGAATGGCTGAGCATTTATAATAGAATCCCAGTGTAACACGATGCTCATCCAAAATTTTAGACTGGTCTAATATTCGGTCACTGACCTACTATACAATATATATGTATAATCGGGACTCTGTAAAACGGGGTCGGGGGCAAATATTCGATTGTAATACAAACTTATTTGTAAGGAGACCTAGACTACAACCGCATAACTACTTTTATATTAAATTTATAATAACTAGTTTATTACCTTTTTTAACGTTCTTCTTTACTTAGTCAGTAGTATTATTCTCATACCTATATAATGAGCTGTTTTTTAACAGATATGCTCTAACCTTTATGATGTTGTTTATGGTACTTTTGTTGCTTTTACTTGTGATGATTACTGGGTACCTGCACACTCCAACAACGTATGGGGGATACGTTGGACTAATAAAGACATTTAAAAGTCAAATTCGGAATACTAGGAAATTACTGGAGGTTTGTCAAGGAGGCAGTACCAGTATGTAAGCTTTTCGCGTGGGATGAGGAAAAGGATAAGAGCGACAAAATAATCATGAATGCTCACCCACGTTTAGTAAACGCAGTGATGAACGGGAAAAGCTTGGACATCGTAGGGGCAAAAGCCCGCGTTCATCCTTGTAATTGGGTAAATATTTCTTTATTTGCTCTCTTTTTCCAGTTTCCCACGCACGTATTATCAACACACTGACCAATTTTCCCTCCCTTTCCTCTCTCTATCTATACCCATCCCATCCCCCCCAACATTTCTCCACATTTCGACATTTGATTACATTAACTAAATCATACTCTATTCACGAGATAATCACCTTTATGTGTTAGGGATTGCAGGGCTAGACTGCAAATCTGGACTATTGATTGTGTTCTTATACGAGTTAGTATTCATCCCGTTCATATGTTACGTGGAAAGAGATTGGTTAAAAATGGCGGGTGGGATATTACAATCAAAAGTTATAGTGGAAAAGATTTGCCGAAAATACTAACTACTTTCATAGGTATATAATACATTATTGACTTTGTGGATGCTATTCGAAAGAGACCAAATATACACATAAACCTTAATATGATGCATTGCAATATCATGTGTAGTGGCATAAAATATAATACAAGAATGGTAATGGATTGAGATGAAAATCACAGGATTGACATGCTTGTTTATGTTTGCAAATTGCGTTTTCGATTGCGGTTCATGCATAATGGTTGGTATTATTTGATCGGAATCAAGGTGTATTTATAATAAACCTCTAATTGATGTGTGAAGCAGGTATTGGCACGTTTCTTGTTTGTAGCATGATCGGGTATTTATAATCCCCTCCCCTCAAGCATCAATGACTGATACATAGTTAGCGCATCAATGAATGGTATATAGTTAGCGCATCATATTACGTACAGAATGCAAACATAACACACACTCAACAAAAACCTGTTCATTTGTGTTCAGTATTTGTCAATTGTTCCGGAAAAAAAGTTTTTTTTTTTCTATTAGGAAAAACTTCCCGAAACTTAGTTTATAATCCTCATTAAACTTGTCGTACATTATGGCGTATCATTAATGCCAAAACACCCAAATTCTCGGGAATGAAATTATGTTGATTATAAATTAAATTCACACACTTTATCGTGAGAATCAAACTCTGCTATACATATACCCGTTCTTTATTATTCTTCTATTATGCTAATGTTCGATCATATGATTCACTGCATACGAGAGTATTACCAAACACCTGACACGTCGAATCGAAGGCAACATATTTTTAACTAAAATAGTTTCGCCGCCATTTGCCGTCCATCCAAATATGGCGTATTCCAACCACATCCCCAAAAAATAAAAATGCCCGCTTTTTTTAATATCCCTTCGTTTGTTTCTTTGAACAGATTCTCTAACATAATCCCTCCTCCCTCCTTTGGCGTCGCCGTCGTCTCCTACTGTGACATCAACTTATGTTCATATTATTGTTTTCCTACTCTCCTTCCCCTACTCCCCCTTCACAGTACGAAACGTTTCAAAACGTTTCTCTCTGTAAACGTTGCACTGGCATCCCATTTTGGTTCACTAATCTGACCAAATATGGTATTTTGGATTATTACGCTGCGAGATCACCCAAATATAGTATTATTTGGCCACTAGAGCACCAATATGAGGAATAATGTGTATATTGTTTGTGATGAAGCACAATTTAATAAGTTAGTGATAAGCGTTATTGTTTAACAATAATAATTTGGTGCTATGATACCGTTGTGACGGTCTTGATTATAATCCCGATGCAGTGTTGCGAAAACTGATTTTGACAGCCTGTAGGCAAGCATATTTGTATTTGATAAACGTATGCCAAAAAATCGAATGTTCAATGTCGGCGGCTGGGCTGAAACTCGGATTCCGAAGCATATTTGTTTCAGTGTCGTTGTTATTGTAAGTAGTGTAGGCAACCTTCGTCCTACCCCTAAGAAATGTACAATTATGTACGAATGAACTTTAATTTCCATTTCGTAGAAAGACTGCATATTATCATTTAGCTTACTTAACTGATATTGTAATCGATCGATGCAAGTAGAACTAGACAAAGAACTTGATATCAATCGTGTTTCATACAGAATTTGTATGCCCGTCACATGAGAAAAGATGGTTTGCGTCAAGTCTAATATACAAGGGTATTTGATATGATATCGATTATCTCTCTCGCAATGTTGAACAACAATAACAATATACAATAATAATACAAACAATAGAGCAACCAGTGTAAACACAAACAACCAACGCAACGAAGGGTTGTTGGGTTGTACAACCAATGATAATCTTGGATGATTATCAAAAATCTAAAAATAGAGCCGAAACCTTATTGACGTTTCATTTCATATGTAAAATTCTTAAATTGTACATTGTCACATTAACGCCATTGCAAAGTTACTCGACTCATCCATATCAGTATTTGTTTGACAAGAGGTCGATGGGGAATTTATTTCCCTTCTCATTGATGCATAGCGAAACTATGTGAATTAAACAGGCGAAATGGTTTTTTTTCGTCCTGTCATTTACTGTTGATGTTACCCAGCCTGCACTCCCTTCGTTTACCAACATTATTATTTGTTGAGAGGTTGGCGTGATTTAGTTTTATAAATTTTTGTCGACAACATCAACAAATTTACATAATCAAGCTGGGAAACGGTATACATAAATTAGGCTGTATGATATATTAACGACAAGAACGATAGCAAAATGATAATTGGCAAAACTTCGAACGTTAAGCATATTCGCTATCGGGGTCGAATGGTTAAATCTTACTAATTGACACCGCAACTTTTGCATCGCTGGGGGTATAGTTTGTCCAAAGATTTTAATTGTTTCGGCTAACGCAATTTTCACATGTGATGAATAATGTACCGGCTTTCTTATCGCTTAAACAAAGTTTGCCATCACCTACTGGTGTAGCCTTTTATGTTTAGTTATAACTGTTTTGCATATTGAACTGTAAATATTTACATTGTAAAATTTATTTGTTTTTATTACCATTATCATTTTGATCAGTATTACTGTTTGCCTAAAGTAGCACGCATTGTGCGATGATGTGCGAGTAAAAGATGTAGTTTGCTAAATGAGGTGTCAATTCTAATACTCAATACTAGATAATTTGTTTGCCTTGATTTTTGACTTTTGTAGGCGTTCCTTCTCTATCGATGCTCTGTTCCAGTTTCAATTATCATTCCATTATTCGGACCGAACTCTGAAAAGTGATGTATACAAACAGAACAGCTAAAACACTTAAACCAATGATAAGTTGTGTGAGTTGTCATATTTAGACAGGTGATGCCTTGAAAGTTGTTCTATTCGCCGGCATCAAGGCAAACATAAACTTTGTGAGTTTTCAGAGACATCTAGACCTCAGGTGACGTTTCGTGCTTCCTTGAAATTGGTCTTATTCGCCATCATCAAGGTAAGCATGCATTTTGATATTCCGGACAGTCACAACAATGGCCACGCGTTTACTTTCTAATTATACACTAATATAAATTTACACCCGTTCGGGATAATGTTTGATAATTCTCGGTGAATCATAGTGCTACAAGCATCACGAGGTATCTATTCCATATCCCACGTGTTGACAGGATTTCGTTAGAACGGTTATACACGTGCTTTAAGTCATTGAATCGTCAAACACTCTAGAAACTATCATTGTCCGGAGCAAAGCGAATTTCTCTGTGCGGCACATGATCTCGACCAATGATTGTGATTGATGATGATGACGTTACTGATTACAACGGTTCCCGTAGTGTATAAGATAATACGATGTATGGAATACTGCAAACGTGGGAGTTGCAGAAAAAAAATCAACAAATTTAAAGTTCATTTAAACCAGGATCTTCATGTTTGTCGAAAGATATTTTGACCACAGAAATGCAGGGAGGAGAACTAAAAATTTTCGATGGACCCGATCCTGGTTTATGACTTTTTTTTTTCAATTAGAAAAGTACCCCTTTGTTCTTAGCAAAATGTCAAAATTAATCTCGATGTCTTTGTGTAAACAGTAGTGCTGCAGTATATTCTCACACTACATGCGTGGCTTATCAAGTAATCGGGGGTGTTGCATAAACAACGCCCAATGATGTGATTTTGGATACTGTCGTGTTACATCCCAGGATTCGGTCCCGTAAATTGTGGAACAAAATGCTGCTGGGGCGAGAAAACATTTCGTATCGATAAGTACAAACATTGATACAACGATAGTGTTCAACAGCGAATCGAGGGTGGATGATAGTGACAACAAAGCAGCAAGTATTCGGGACGCCC